AGTCATACATCAGTAGCCTCTATCCACAGATGGACCAGTATTGGGACTTTAGAGATATGAAGGAGATACGAAGGAATTTCCGGGGTGTGTGTGTGTATGCACGTGTGCATGCGTGCATGTTTTCTCTCTCCTGTTTGCAAAAAAAGGAAAAAATGCATTGCCGTCTTCCTAGAAAAACATTCCAACATTCACAAAAACAATGTATAAATATATTGTGGTTTTTAGTTTATTTTCAGGCAGGAACAATGAATGAAAGTTCATTATATTCAGTATGACCTTACCTTTTAAAGCCATTTATTTTTCTTAATTCTTGGAAATTAATTAAATAGGAAATTAATATTTGAAGTGGTTAGGATTTATACCTTCAGTAGAATATTCATGTGTTTTTTAGTCTTCTCAGGGACAAAGAGTTCCGGATTGAAGTTTGTGTCTCTCACTTAACAGGCAGTACTTCGCATCCTCATTTGTAAATGAGGAATGTAATTCTGGCCCTGCTTTCCTCACAGAATTCTTTCAAGGGTCAAAATGGGAACCTGGAGTCACTTTATCTCTAATATGATGTAAAAATTCCTTGTGTCCACTATAGAATATTTCTGCAGACTCTGCAGGGACGGATGCTTTATATTGTCAGTACATTGAGACACAAGAAACTAATAATGAAATCTCAGATTTTGAAGTGTGTCTGTGGAAAGGATAAGATTGTTTAATATTCTCTCACCTGGGTTTAATATTTGGAAATACATAATATTTCTCCTGTGAAGGTTTTGGTTCCCTGATAATTTTGGTTTGAATATATTGAAATTATACTTGTAGAAAAAGTGGGAGCTGACAGAATTGAGAAGAAAAATGGTAGGCAGCAGAATAGGAATAAAGTTCTTTTTCCACCTTGGCAGCCAGGTAACTTATGGGAAGTTCAGAAGGGCACTTCTTCAAAGGAGATCTTGTCAGGACTCAGAGCTATCATGCATAAAATCAAAAGGCCTGGCACATTTGCATAGGGAACTAACAAAAGACAGCCACAAAGTCACATGAATGTAGAAGCATCTCGATGAAACTTGGAGACAGTAGATTATCAGAATAGTCCAGTCAGCATGGGTGGTAAATAGAAATTATATTGATACCATGCTAATTTGAGGTAGGTGTTAAAGTCCATTTAATGCAGTGATGGTGAACCTTTTAGACCTTTCAATGATACAAACGGCCTGCTACAGTGCATATCCCATAGGTTTGCCACCACTGAGTGTTGTCAGTGTTTTACTTTAGGAAGTCTTTAAAAATTATTCCCAGTTTTCACTGGCTCACACTTAACTTTTGTTCTGTCCATTAACCTAGTTTTCCTACAAGTCCCTTAGCACATGATTGCTCCTGCTACCTGGCTTCTGGATTGCAGGTGTGTTAGTTGGCCAACCTTATGGCAGAGGTGAGAGTGACAAGCCTAGTGAATAATTAACCAGCTGATTAACTGGAATTTCTCAAAACACAAATCCACTGCTGTTTTCATTGTTTACTGGACTGTCTAGTAAACTGGAAGACATATAGTGCCTTTACTTGCCTTTGTATGCCGAATGTTTCGTTTATGAAAGGACAGTTATCTCTAGATGACTGTTACTAGTGAAGACCTGGAGGAAAGTGATTCATTGACTGCAGCAATTGACTTCTTCCTTGTTCTCAGGGATTTTTTAAGAGCTCCTTTAACTTTTCTGCCTGCCCTTTTGTTGTGTTTTTCTCTTATGTAATCACAAACCATTTTTATTTACTGCTATAAGGACTAGTTTTCTAAAACACCAATCTGTTTGTGTATTCTTGCTTTGTGTTTAGTTTTTTTATTTTAAATCATCTGGAGCAAAACATGTTCATCTTTATTTTGTTTAGTGCCATCTAGCATAATTCTGGGCCTTGACACCTTACCCGCCATCCGTACATTGCCTGGAAATGTAAAAGCTTTTCATTACTGCATGAAGAAGAAACCATTGGGAAAAAAGCACACTGCCAAAAGTTATGCAAAAATTACATCCAACAGTCCAAAATATTTTAAATTTTTATTATTTATCATAAGGCTTTATGTAATTTATACAGATGGTAAAAATTAATTGGACTTCTAAAGCAAAAAATTTAATAAATGATAGACATTATCATATCCCCCAAAAAAAACTTTTAATAATGCTGTGGAAAAGCAGTACATATGGTCAATGCAGTAAGATTTTTCAGATCTTTAGAAGAGAATTTATAAATAAGGGGTGCTCCTGAGCGTGGGTGGATAGATTTTTTTTTTTTATTTCTACACATAATCTTTAGTTAGCATTTTAAAGTAGAGAGCAGATTTCTGTCACTTTAGTGAGAGTAAATAATCCAAGCACAACTATTTCATAAATATGTAGACTTTGGGGTAAAACCTATAAACTATAGATTTTGCTGTCCTATCTGCTCATGTTTAAACATAATCCCCCCCCCCCGCCCCGTACCAGGGATTGAACTTGGGACCTTGCGCTTGCGAGGCAGGCACCGGAACCACTGAGCTAAATTCCCGGCCCTAAACATACTATTTTTATATCTCTAAGTATTGTTTGCCGTTGAAAGGAATGAGGAGCCCTTGGACAAATGACTCCTTCTGGTTCTGAGCCAGGAAAGGTACAAGTTGGATGTTTTATACCAGAAATCAAGGAAGTTACCAAAGACTGCTAGGAGTCAGAAGAACTCAAAAGACCCCAGCTCTTGCAAGACTATATCAATAAATATATCAACTGTGATGGATTGAAACACACCAAATATGTTTTATGTAGTTAAACATATTTAACTAAATATGTTTTATATAGTTAAAACATATCAAATGTTTCAATCCATGAGTTCATAATTATACAGTACAGTACTTCAAAAAATAAAAACCCCATTGGCCACGATTGGAGAACTGGTAAATAAAGCAAATTAGGCATCTGTTTTGCTCTTCTTACATGAGTTGAACCTTAGGATACCTAAGAGGGAACTTTCTTTTTGTAGAATTATTCCAGCTAATAAATCAAGAATAAATAATAGAATATCACTTTGAAGCTTCTAATGAATCATTACATCTAGACAAGTATCAGTGGCTAACAATACCTCAGAAAGAGCCAGCCAGACATTAGGAAATTCAGACACTGCATGAAAGAGTCCACCCACCCCCATTGGCGCTAGAGTCAGATCAAGCCCCTAGATCAAATTACACTTTAGAGGAATACAAAGGACAGAGTGAAGCGTTAACCACGCCAATGGGACGCAGTGCACAAAATCCAGAATTGGAAACTATCAGACAACCTAGTTCTTCAACAACACTAAAAAAATTACAAGGGAAGACTAGAGATTAAGAAAGCCATAGATAATAGAAATCTAAGGAACTTACCAAAGCATCATAATCTATGAATGTTATTTGAATCCACATCCAAACAAAATTGTAAGACATTATAATGCTTATTTGATTATATGAAGTAATTATTTTTAGGTGTGATAATACTGTTGGGATTTGATAATTTTTAATGGCCTTTTAGAGACTCACACTGAAATATTTATAATGAAATGATATGATACTTGGCATTTACTCTGTATAAACTGGCTTACAGGGCTGAGCAGGATTGGCAAAGTACAGTTTTTAGTATAAATGAAGCAAGATTCATCAAATATTGGTAACTGTTAAAGGCAAGAAGGAACAGTCATTGGTTTGTTACTTTATTCTCTTTCCTTTTGCATATATTGAAAAGTTTCCAAAATAAAAGTTTATACATGTCTAGGGGCCAGGGATTTAGCTCAGTGGTTCCAGCGCCTGCCTCACAAGCCCAAGGTCCCGAGTTCGATCCCCGGTACCCCCCCAAAAAATTTATACATATCTATGCCTTCTAAAAAATTAATGAAGCTGTAAAGTTTCACCTAGGTTTAAATGTTAAAGAGAATGCTTTGCCACTGCACATCTATTAGAAGGGCACACTCTTAAGAGACTAACACTTGGAAGTACTTATAATGTACTTATAATGAAGTACTGTGATTACGAAGACATGTGTAAAACTAAGCTATTCTGGTGTACTGCTGTAGATCTGGTAACTTCTTAATATCACACATTGGCTTAAGATCAAAAGTGAGACTCCATCTCTTTCTCTGAGCCCTTTTCTAGGTCTCCTCTCCTCTCCTCTCTTCTCTCTCTCTCTCCCTCCCTCCCCATCCTCGTCCTTCCTTTCTCCATCTCTTCAACACAAGCATACAGACTTGAGCACCCAGCCAGTGCTCTTCTGAGAACTGTGAAGCCCATGTTCATCCAAATGTACCAAAAAAGAAGTCACCCTACATGTCTAAAAACTGTTGCTTCTCTCTGAAACTTCAGACTCCAGCAGTTTCCAAATACAATATGAGCTTTGTTTTCTTTAATTTTTGTAATGGCAAATGTTTTGAAGGAAAATTTTACACCAGGCTTCTAGTTATACTAGAAGTCAAGTCCAGTAGGGACTCCTTATTTTCAGTTGGTTGTTGAGAAGTTTCAAAAACCAGTCTTCAAGCTGTGGTCTTTCAAGTACATCTTCTGCACATAAGTCACACATTTCAATAAAGCATTTTCAAGACAAAAAAAAAAGTGAGACTCTAAATTGTGTTATAAATTAGGAATTTCAGGCTGGGGGATTAGCTCAGTGGTAACATTGCCTGCCTTGCAAGCACAAGGTCCTGAGTTCAATCCCCGGTACCAAAGAATAAATAAATAAAAATAAATGATAAATTAGAAATTTCAGGACCTAAAGAATTGTGGTCTATTTGGGGGAGATATAAAAAAATGATGCATGAAAAATTTGTGAAATTCAATTATGATTGGCACATACATTATGTGGAATACAGGAAGAAAAAGGTACGCCAAAAACAGGCTGAGGCACCAGGACTTTTACATCCCCCAGAGCATTGCCAGGATCCTCTCCTTCATGATCTCCTTTAGATTCAAATTAATTTTTTTTCCGTGTTGGTAAATAAACTTATTTTTGTTTGTTTTTTCCTAGCTGGGGAATGGCAGTCAATGTGTATTCTACCTCAATAACCCAAGAGACTATGAGCAGACATGACATCATTGCCTGGGTTAATGACATAGTATCTTTAAACTACACAAAAGTGGAACAGCTTTGTTCAGGTAAGAGATCATCTTTGAAGTATTTACCTGGAATGTTTACTGTCTTGAAGAATGTAATTTTATGAACCATACCTGATAGGTTTTGGGTAGGAAAAATGTATATCAGTATTGATATATACTTAAAGGAGAAAATTCAGGTATAGCTAAAGAACAGATGGGAGAAAAATGTCTGAACATCTAAAAGCAGAGCCATCCCTGACGGGTTTTGTGAACTGCCTTTGGCTTGCTCTCTTAACCCTTCTCTATAATGCTGTCTCCTACCCTCTTCTCCATCACCCCATTTGCCACCATATTTACTGCTTAAAACATAGAGTAGATCTTGTGACACCCTTCTTTACAGACCTTCAGGGGTTTATGTTGTCCCTCCCACAGAATAAAATTCAGTCTTCTGATTGCCACCTAACTGTCTTCCCAGTTTCACCTTGCACATCTCTCCCCATTGTGCCTCAGTCCCACAAAACACTCCTTGTTTGTTCCCTGAAGACTCCTCCCCTTTGACATCCTGTGAATTTTTTTCACACGCCCTTGGCTTAGCAGGGCTCTTCCCTTCTTCATCTTTGGGTAAAGTCCTGTCCACACTTCTAAATGCAGCTCCCCTGCCAGCCCTCAGTGAAGCGACCACCAGGTTTCCAGACTGCCAGGTTCCTGCGTGTTCCTGGAGCACTGCCCTCCCCTCCAGAATGACAAGTGCCACACTATGATATAATGTCTGATTCCTACCCCCCAAAGGTAACGAGAGTTCTTGAGAATAGGCTCATATTTTATTTTTTGTTAAATGCCTACATGGCACTGTTACTTGATACCAAGTAGATCTGCAAGGATTGCATATTAAGTTAAACTTGTGTAAAAAAGAAAAAGTCTTGATTTCAGTAATAAAGTAGGGACATATATAAAGTAAAATAATCCATTCTTAGGTTCAAGTATTTATCAAGGAAATAAATAGTCCTTCTTTGGAAACAAAAAGTATTTTCTTCTTGTAAACTAATAGGTAAGAAATTTCCTCTCTACTTCTGGTTCTAGCATGACAATGTTATGAGAAAATAGAAAATATTCCTGAAATGTGTTTGTTGGCAATTCCATGAGAGACACTAGATACCAAAGAGTCATCAGTGTCAGCTGATGCATTGGTATTGGACACTTTGCTGTCATTCCCAGTGGGTCATGTTTAAAAAGAATTTCATGTTGTACAGTCAGAATTTGGAAAGCACTAGTGGCCACTCTCAGATCATGTATGCATCCAGCTCCCACCAGTTTATGTATGCTCCCTTCACTCGGTCTGGACTTGATCAGAATATTTTAGAGGACTAACATTCACTGCTGTTGGCATATCTTTCTTCTTAATCCTTTTTCGCGTGAGAAAGACGTTGTGGTTGGCTAGGCATTGCCCTTCCCCACCTCTCTGTGCCTAGGACTCAAACATGAAATCCTGTGACTTAGGTCAGGAGAGGTAGTAACTAACCAGTTTATTTGTTCTTCAATGCAAGCTAGAGAAAAGTAGACTAGGGTTATGATGATATACCAGGTATATATATTGTTGGCCTAATGAATTGACCCTGACTTACTTTCAGAAACAACTCTTACTGTATCTTACTCAACTCCATTCACTCAAATATTATTGTTTTGTTTTTGCTATGCATTCTAGAGCTCTCTAATATTTTCTTTTTAATTTGGTAGGAAAAAACACTTGCTGTGTTAGCGATCCTTTTGTTAATAGCACATATCACTTTATATTGAAATTGTCCATTCTCCACAGTGCACAGTGTTCCTTCAAAAATGCTCATTTGGAGGATGAATGAAAAGCAGTTTGCAGCTACTAGGAGGGAAAGACAAAAATGTAAATCTTCTCCACAGTCTGGGTGTATGTATGTGGAGATAAGGGGAATGAGGTTGGTTATCAAGAAAAACAGAAATAAGAAGGAAGGAAATAAGGAGAGGAGTTATAGAGAACATTTCTACTTTGGTCTTAAATGTTTAAAGAATCCCTTTGGAGCCTCCCATGTAGTATACTTAGAGAGTTTTTGGTTGCAAATAAAATGAGAGCAAATTAGAATTTTTTAAGATATACTAGTAAATGTTGATGAGCAATATATATAATCTTTGCAGATCTCTAAAATTTCCCACAAGGCAAATTCAATAAAATTTTAAGCAGCATTTGTGAAGGATTCTTGTGTCGTTATCTTAAAGCATTGGCATACATTTGACAGCCATTTGCAACTACATGGCCACTATCAAGTGTGATTTGATCAGAATATGTAGGCAGCATTTTGATCACTACTCAACAGGCATAATTTTCATTAGGATAGCTTTCTAGCAACCTAAAGTTACAAGGTTGATGATTTAGAAATAGATCTAAAGGTTTTCTTCTGCTCTGAAATATGTTTCTTGCTGGAAAATAAACATATTAATCTCCATATTAGAGAGAAGTCTTTCAGTTTAGACAGTAGTTTCCTCAAAGTATAAACTGTGGAACAGATCCGTATTTACTGAAAAAGCAAATGCTCTAGGACCCTTCACCTTCTAAGTCAGTACCTTTGGGAGTGCAGCTTCCAAATCTGCATTGTAAAAAGCAGCCCACATACTTTTGCCTGTAGCCCAGAGCTTGCAGGACATTTTTGAGAAACTCCAAACCACTAAAAGTGAAAAATTATCCAAAATCTGTCTGGCACAGTTTCCTTATTCATAACTTAATCTGCAACTTTTGTTTTTAACAACATTTAGCAGGAGGAAGCTATCTTCTTAATTATTTATGAATTTATTTATTTATGCCCTTCATTATTCTAGAAGACATTTAAGGCAGCTAGGACAGTGCTATTACGATAAGAACAAATCTAAATGTTGTTGACCTATGTGATTTATCCTCCCCATGTAGCCAAATTTGTGGGGTAATAGTTTTCTTCAATGTTTATTTTAATTCCTTTTAGTTTACTGTGGAGGGTTTATTTCAGTAGCATGCTCTGGAAAAACCTGCACAAAATACTTTTACATATCTAAATTGACTTTTTTTCTTGTTCAACTTTATTTCTTACTCTGCTTTATGAAGACTTACATTCCTATCTTGGTCATGCCATTTTTGCATTCTTCCCCTATTAATTATTTCCCCCTTTTCTTTTTTTTTATTTCCAGCTAAGAGATCTCCTTGTAGCTCAGTATTAAAACTAACATCATTTTTTCTTCAGCTCATAAAGAGCTGAAATACTACTTTACATTGATGTTGCATTTTCCTCAGATATTCTGCCCTTTTGTAACATCTCTTGTTTCTATATAAGCATTTTTTAAAAAAAATTTTAAAGAGAAGATGGTGTAAGAAGGTAGAACACTTCAGAACCCATTGTAGTAAATTGCAAAACAATGAAAATGATTCATTCTTATATCCTGTTATTTTATTCCAAAGATATAACCTTATGAGCTTTTTCCTTGAGCATTAAATCTGGGTCATGGGCTTATGTGCATATTTTTCATCTATTTCTTGTGAAAAACAACTTTTATATTTCAGGTAAAAGTGGCTGCATAACTGGAATGTGAGCTATCAGTGATCTGTAGATATCCACTACATAATTGCCTATAATAATATGATGATATACTACTCACCTACATCTGTTTTGAAAATGAATCATTGTCTTAAAGGTAGATGATAGAAAACAGGAGATTAGACCTTTGGCAAATAGGAAGGGGATCTAGGGATGGTGGGAGTGGGGAGGGAAGGGAAGGGATGGGAAGAGTAAGCAAAAAGGAACAAAATGTGATGTGTACATGTAGCAGTGCCCCAGGATGAATGTATTCATTTTTTAAATTTTGGAAAAAAAAAAAAAGATAAATCATTGTGGATTTTCCATTGTGGAATGGGGGTTTGGACCATATATAATAACGTATTGGTTTGGCTTTGAAGTATGTTATGTTTTTGTTCAGTTGCCTTTTGGGGGCAGGAGTGGATGTTGTGTTTTTGCCTGGGTACCAGCTCAAACCATTTTACTAGATGTTTTATGAAGTGGTGTAGCAGATGAATGGGTAGCATAATACTAAAAACCCCTAAGAACACCTTTAGCAATTTGAGATATCTTTTTTGAGATAATAGGGAAAAAAATGGTGGATTGTAATGGAAAAGAGGAGGAAAAGCAATGGGGAAGGGAGTCTGACAGGAGTGAAGAAGAGCATCTTTCCCTCTTCCTTGCCCTCTCCCCTTCCCTAAAGTACCAAGCCTCCTTGAAACAGTTCTGACATCTGTTTTCCTGTGTCCAGTTCCTTTCACTGAGGCTGAATCTAAGCAGCAAAACCCATCAGCCCAGTCTGCCCTTCTGTATCTGTGTACCTTCCCTCCCTCTTTCCCACTCCCTCACAGAACAAGACAGCAGCAGACTTACAGCAAATGCTGGCACCCAGTCCACGCTGGGAGAGGACATCACCAGTACAGTACTACCGCTCTACCCAGTGCTGTCACTGTGCTGTCAGGAGCTCACTTATTTTCCTGAGCATTTGACTGATTCAATAAAACATCATTTAAATTAAACCATTTTTTGATGAAAAATTTAGGTATTTTTCTGTACTGACTTGAAAAAGAAAGGTAGAAAAATGATGAGGATTTGACTCAGTTTCAATTTGTACTTCTCCAAATTGGTTCAAGCTTGTCTTGGACCAAGTTTCTAGTATTTTCATCTTCCAGGAAACTTCTGAATTTGGCTGATGATACTGTAGTCGCATTTACAAACCTGGGTACATGATAGCTGTGTAGAAGGGACTGGGATCTACCGTGTGCTCTGGGGTTAACATAGGTGTGGCCATGAGACCCAAGGGACAGGTCCTCTGGGGTTTGTCCTGATGGCAGTTGTTGCAGAGCCCACCACAGTGTTCTTCATGACCATTTTTGGCTGCAGATCTGCACTTGTTAAGTAGGTTGATCCCAGCCTAGCAGGGTGTTCCCTGTGCTTGCTTCCTCTCTTCTGTCCTCAGAGACCTCTGTCAGGAGGACAGGTTAGTGATGAAATCAGCTCAGAGGCTAAATTTAG